GATGTTGTGCAAATGATAAGAAAGAGATGATTGTGGATGTTATGAATGAGAAGAAGCTGGATGTCCTGGCTTTAAGTGAAACAAGCTGAAGGGGTGGGAGAGTTTCAATGGAGAGGAATAAATGGGATTAGGTCAGGGGTTTCAAATCGAGTTAGAGCTAAAGAAGGAGTAGCAATAATGTTGAAGGATAAGCTATGGCAGGAAAAGAGGGACTATAAATGTATTAATTCAAGGATTATGTGGAGTAAAATAAAGATTGGATGTGAAAAGTGGGTTATAGTAAGCGTGTATGCACCTGGAGAAGAAAGAAGTGTAGAGGAGAGAGAGAGATTTTGGGAAATGTTGAGTGAATGCATGGGGAGTTTTGAATCAAGTGAGAGAGTAATGGTGGTTGGGGATTTCAATGCTAAAGTGGGTAAAAATGTTATGGAGGGAGTAGTAGGTAAATTTGGGGTGCCAGGGGTAAATGTAATGGGGAGCCTTCAATTGAGCTATGTGTACAAAGAGATTTGGTAATAAGTAATACGTATTTTATGAAAAAGAGGATAAATAAATATACAAGGTATGATGTAGCAAGTAATGAAAGTAGTTTGTTAGATTATGCATTGGTGGATAAAAGGTTGATGGGTAGGCTCAAGGATGTACATGTTTATAGAGGGGCAACTGATATATCGGATCATTATTTAGTTGTAGCTACAGTTCGAGTAAGAGGTAGATGGGAAAAGAGGAAGGTGGCAACAACAAGTAAGAGGGAGGTGAAAGTGTATAAACTAAGGGAGGAGGAAGTTTGGGGGAGATATAAGCTACTGTGTCAGAAAGGTGGGCTAGTGCAAAGATGAGTAGTGGGAGGGGTTGAAGAGGGTTGGAATAGTTTTAAAAATGCAGTATTAGAATATGGGGCAGAAGTCTGTGGTTATAGGAGGATGGGGCAGGTGGAAAGAGGAGTGATTGTGGAATGATGAAGTAAAGGGTGTGATAAAAGAGAAAAAGTTAGCTTATATGAAGAGGTTTTTACAAAGCAGAAGTGTTATAAGAAAAGCAGACTATATGGAGAGTAAAAGAAAGGTGAAGAGAGTGGTGAAAGAGTGCAAAAGGAGAGCAGATGATAGAGTGGGAGAGGCACTGTCAAGAAATTTTAATGAAAAAGAAAAAATTTTGGAGTGAGTTAAACAAGTTAAGAAAGCATAGGGAAAGTATGGATTTGTCAGTTAAAAAACAGAGTAGGGGAGTTTGTAGATGGCGAGAGGGAGGTATTAGGTAGATGGCGAGAATATTTTTGAGGAACTTTTAAATGTTGAGGAAGAAAGGGAGGTGGTAATTTCATGCACTGGTCAGGGAGGTATACCATCTTTTAGGAGTGAAAAAGAGCAGAATGTAAGTGTGGGGGAGGTACGCGAGGCATTACGTAGAATGAAAGGGGTGTAAGCAGCTGGAACTGATGGGATCATGACAGAAATGTTAAAAGCAGGGGGGGATATATTGTTGGAGTGGTTGGTACTTTTGTTTAATAAATGTATGAAAGAGGGGAAGGTACCTAGGGATTGGCAGAGAGCATGTATAGTCCCTTTATATAAAGGGAAAGGGGACAAAAGAGATTGTAAAAATTATAGAGGAATAAGTTTATTGAGTATACCAGGAAAAGTGTGAGTAGGGTTATAATTGAAAGAATTAGAGGTTAAGACAGAATGTAGGATTGCAGATAAGCAAGGAGGTTTCAGAGTGGGTAGGGATGTGTAGATCAAGTGTTTACATTGAAGCATATATGTGAACAGTATTTAGATAAAGGTAGGGAAGTTTTTATTGCATTTATGGATTTAGAAAAGGCATATGATAGAGTGGATAGGGGAGCAATGTGGCAGATGTTGCAAGTATATGGAATAGGTTGTAAGTTTACTAAATGCTGTAAAGAGTTTTTATGAGGATAGTGAGGCTCAGGTTAGGGTGTGTAGAAGAGAGGGAGACTACTTCCCGGTAAAAGTAGGTCTTAGACAGGGATGTGTAATGTCACCATGGTTGTTTAATATATTTATAGATGGGGTTGTAAAAGAAGAAATGCTAGGGTGTTCGGGAGAGGGGTGGGATTAAATTATGGGAATCAAATTCAAAATGGGAATTAATAACACAGTTACTTTTTGCTGATGATACTGTGCTTATGGGAGATTCTAAAGAGAAAATTGCAAAGGTTAGTGGATGAGTTTGGAATGTGTGTAAAGGTAGAAAGTTGAAAGTGAACATAGAAAAGAGTAAGGTGATGAGGGTATCAAATGATTGAGATAGAGAAAAATTGAATATCAAATTGGGAGGAGGAGCATGGAGAAGTGAATGTTTTCAGATACTTGGGAGTTGACGTATGGGTGGATGGATTTATGAAGGATGAGGTTAATCATAGAATTGATGAGGGAAAAAAGGTGAGTGGCGCATTGAGGTATATGTGGAGTCAAAAAACATTATCATGGAGGCAAAGAAGAATGTACGAAAAGTATAGTAGTACCAACACCTGATAGGGGTGTGATGCTTGGTGGTAAATGCAGCAGCGAGGAAATGGTTGGAGGCAGGGGAGATGTCCTGTCTAAGGGAAATGTGTGGTGTAAATATTATGCGAAAATTTGGAGTGTGGCAATTAGGAAAAGGTGTGGAGTTAATAAAAGTATTAGTCAAGAGGCAGAAGAGGGTTTGTTGAGGTGGTTTGGTCATTTAGAGAGAATGGATCAAAGTAGAATGACATGGAAAGCATAAAAATCTTAGGGGAAGGAAGGCGAGGTAGGGGTCGTCCTCGAAGGGGTTGGAGAGAGGAGGTAAAGGAGGTTTTGTGGGCAAGGGGCAGGGAAACTTCCAGCAAGCGTGCGTGAGCGGTTAGATAGGAGTGAATGGAGACGAATGTAACTTGGGACCTGACGATCTGTTGGAGTTGAGCAGGGTAATAATTTAGTAAAGGGGATTCGGGGAAAACCCGGGTTTTATTTTCATATAGTCGGACTTGAGTCCTGGAAATGGGAAGTACAATGCCTGCACTTTAAAGGAGGGGTTTGGGATATTGGCAGTTTGGAGGGATATGTTGTGTAATCTTTATAAGTATATGCTTCTAAGCTGTTGTATTCTGAGACCTCTGCAAAAACAGTGATTGTGTGAGTGTGGTGAAAGGTTGAATATGATGAAAGCATTTTCTTTTCGGGGATTTTCTTTCTGTTTTTGGGTCACCCTGCCTCGGTGGGAGAAGGCCGACTTGTTAAAAAAGAAAAAAAAAAAACATGCAAAAGGAATAATTTTCTACAGTTACCCCCAGTAACATATTTTTTCTTATGTTGGACTAGAGAAAATGTTATTCTTGCTGTCACACATACAAGTTGTCTGGCTACCACATCTCATATTTGTTTATTTATTCTACTGTGGGGTGTATTTATCATCTTTATATGTTATGTATCGTGTTTATTGTATAATTTTGAAAAAATATCATACCAGATGGACTAAAGAAAATGTGTATATTAACATAATATATGACATTTAATGAGACTCCGTGATTATTATTATTATCATTACTAATATGGTGTCACACATACAAGTTGTCTGGCTACCACATCTCATATTTGTTTATTTATTCTACTGTGGGGTGTATTTATCATCTTTATATGTTATGTATCGTGTTTATTATATAATTTTGAAAAAAATATCATAGATGGATTAATGAAAATATGTATATTAATGTAATATATGACATTTAATGAGACTCTGTGATTATCATCATTACTAATATGGCGTCTCGAGACATAAGACACTCTTACTGATTTTAATGTGTACCTGAATGCTAGCACAGTGTGTAAGTTTATTTAGGTACAGGTATACATAAGTATAATTATCAGAGAATATATAAAATATGAAATAACTTTAAACACACTTGAAATTTTGGAGTTTCCAGACATAATGGAGAGACATAGTGCTTATGGATCTCACATAGAATGTAAACAAACCGGGTGGGGCGCGGTGACCATATTAGAAAGTCAGGTGGGGAAAGCCGTATAGAGAGTTTTGGTCATAATTTGAAATGACCGTATTAGCGGAATGCCACAAAGCGAAAAGCTGTAAAGCGGGACCCTACTGTATATGCATTTTTATGTGAAAAAAGGCTATGTTTCACTTCAGTGAGTTTTCTCTTTACAGCATTTGCACAGAACCTACCCTGCTATATAAGTGGGGCCTGCCTGTATTATACTACAGAGAATAAAGAATGAAGAAAAATTAAGATGGTTTGGTGGTAATTAAGACAGTTCATGGAATGGAAGAGAAATTTATTTATTACTAATTTGGACATGATACATAGATGTACAAAGAAATACAATGGTTAAGTGCACATGCCAAAAGCCCCTTGTATGCAGAGCATTATGGGCAGGCTTAAAATTAACTTAAGATTAACTAAGCAATGATATATTCAGTGGTAAAAATTACAGTAAACAAATAACAATTAAGCACAAATAAGTATTTCAAAGACAGATCATATAGTCATTTGATGAGTTACTGTGCATTCAAGAGAATGGAGTATTCTACTAGGTAATGTAATTAAAAAAACAAAGTTTGATAGGGTCAGAGGTTATAATTTATGACAGTATATTGTTGAGGTTTGGTTATTTGGAAAGGATGGAGCAAGATAAACTGACTAAGCATATGAGTGGATGGAAGTAATAATAGGGTATATTACGGGAAGTGTTGTAAGGAGGGTGGCAGAGGGAGGTTTGAGCATCCAGCAGGCATGTATCAGCGTGTCAGATTGAAGTGAGTGGAGAAAAGTAGTTTTGGGGAGTGGAGGTGCTGTTACCTTGAGCAAAGTAACATCTATGAAGGGATTCAGGAAAAACTTGCTAGCTGGACTTGAGTCCGGGAAGCAGAAAGTATAGTGCCTGCACTCTCAAGAATGGAAAAGGATGTTAATATCTGTGCGATTATTTGAATTTTGATATCTGTACACTTCTGGAAAGACAGCTAGGGAATGAGTGATAGTGAATACATTTCTTTCTTTCTTAGGGTCACTGTGACTCAGTGGGATATAGCCATCTGATAAAAAAAAATTTAACTTGCCTTAATACCAGTAGGTATGGATCCAGTGAAGGAAAGTTTGGCTACATCTAGATGGCCGCACAACTTGGCTCCAGTCTCTCCTTCTCCCTGCAAATTATAAATTTTGGGATAAGAATTTTTTTTAAGTTATAAATCAAAGCAAAGGAGCAGAAAAATATATATACTGTCAACAACAAATTGTCTCAATTTCCTTTTGAATGTTTAAGTCTGCTAAAAATCTTTCTTTTTGTCCAAATATTAAAGGCATCATTAAACCAGAATTCAAAATGTGTTACTTACTTGTATAACATTGAAGACCCCATCTGGAACTCCAGCTTCAGTGAGAATCTCACCCAATGTGACAGCAGTGACTGGTGTGAACTGGGATGGCTTATACACAAATGTGTTGCCACAAGCCAGTGCTGGTGCTACCTGACCAATAAAGTTCCATCTTTACCTTTCATAATTCTTCACAATACAGAGCATTACTGTACAGTATTACTAATTTAAAAACCTGTCAATACAAGAGAGTTTTGAAAGAAAAAAATCAATAGGATATTCTAAAAATATTGCAAATACTGTATATTAGTGAATAAATTCAAATCAGTAGAGTAATTTCTGAGTGCCAACATGACACCACAAATGGAAAATTTCGTTCAGCTCTGGGGAGGTTCCTAGGTGTTGCATAGATCTCTGTGTACCCGGACAGTTATGACACGTGCCCTCACATACCCTGAGTAGGGCTCTGACACACTGTTAGCACAAGTCTGTTATCAACAGTTATCACTGCCAGACCTACATGCATTACTCACTGTGATTACAGTGTGTTTTGTGCTTATTCTGTGTCTGTGGTGTGAAGATATTGTTGAAAATGTCAAAAAGGCCTCCAGACACCTTTATGGATAACAGTGATAAGTAAAAATGGTGTACAGTAGCCTTTTAATCAAAACATGGCCAAATAACCCGAAACTGTTCTAAACGTTACTCGTCAATCCTTACCAGCGTGATAAGGTCAAAAAACTTGCATTATGAAAATAGATTACATAACATAAAAGGTGATATGAAAAAGACCTGGAAAACCCTATCTGAAATTCTAGAAACTAAAAAGATATCTAAAAACAAAACACTCAAATTAACAAAATCAGACGAACCCCTACTCCCACCAACTGAAACAGCAAACAGACTCGATGTTTTCTTCTCCACCATCGGAAAGAATCTAGCGAGGAAAATCCCAAGCTCAAACACCCATCCATCAGACGGCCTCACAGGTACCTACTTGAATACACTATTCCTAGCTCCCCTCTTCAAGGGGGCTCCTTGGCGTGGTGAAGAGGCTCTTGGTCTGAGGAATTAGACCTATCGGTCTTCTTCTCAGACCGAACCTAATTACCCCCCAATCTCCCCTCCCCTATCCCATCCTCCCCATCCTCCCCTTTTTCCTTTCCTCCTCCTCCTCCCCACCCCTCCCTTTTGCCCTTCCTCTTTTTGTCCTTTGGGATTTCTCCCACAGGCGCGCTAGTTCCTAGGTAGAGGAAAGGATACCGGGGTCCATCCCATTCCGTTGAGGTTCTTAGCGGTGGCGTAGTTTGCCGTGGAATCTGGATCGCCTGGGATGTCCCGATCCCTCTCCGGTATCCCGGAGTAGCTTTGGGTGTCTTTTCGGGCGACGAGTGTATCTCTGGAAGCCACCTTTCGGATTCCGGGGGTGGTGGCCGAAGGAGGTATGCTTTGTGGCGGATATCCGGCTGCCCTCTCTTTTGTCCACCGAGGTAGCTCGCAGATGTGAGGTTGCTAATCCCAGATTGTTAGTTTACTAGCATGATGGGTAGGGTATGGCACGGGTTCCATGCTGCATCTGCGCTACTTGCGGTGCTGAGGTCCTCTTGGGCGCGGAGGGAGATTTCTGGCCCTTTCATTCCTCCTAGGACCTATCCCTCCCCGGTCCCCCCCTTTTTTTTTCTTTTTTTATTTTTATTTTCTTTCTTTCTTTTTTTTCTTAAAAACAAAAAGAAAGAAGTAACCTAACCATGGCAGCCCTAGTCCATGAACCTGGTACCCCCAGGCCCCTTCTTGATACCGCACCCCGTTCTGACCCCGCCTCGTCTTTGGACCACTCTTCAGACATTCCTCATGCCTCTGTACCTATTGCCGGTGCTGTTTCCTCACCCGCTTCAGGTACTGAGGCCTCGACTGACTCCTTCGATTTATCGGACCTTCGCTCTCCTCTGACTATGCTTCCGGCCTCTCCCTCTACGGTGCGGCAATTTTCAAATTGCCGACCCGTTCCACATCGGACCAACTCTGGTCCCACGCCTAACGCCAACAACAATTACCTGCTGATGATACTTCTCCCACCTTCTCGTTCTTCTCAGAAACGATCGACACGTCCTTCACTACCTTTCCACGCTCAGTTTCAGACTGAACAGTGGACTAAATTCTTCACTTTACGACCAACTTCCTCTACTGCCTATCTTTCTGACCATAGTATTGGCAAGGCACTCCTACGCCATGTTGGTAAAGATATTTTCTTTTCATGCTCTTAAGAGCGGTACGCGCATCATTACCGTACAGAATGCTACCCAGGCTCATGAGCTCTCTCGTCTTTCCCATATCGATACTGTTCCTGTCACTCTTGAAAAACATCATTCCCTCAATTCTTGTAGTGGTACCGTCATTCTGCCCCATACCATAGTTCAACAAAATTTCCAGACATGTGGCACTGACTTTCTAGAACAGCTGGAACTCCAAGATCTCCCAATCCTCAAGGTAGACACTTACGTTCTTCCTGCCCGTGGGCGGAGACGATACCCTAGCAATGTGGCTCGTTTAACTTTTGGCAGCCGAGAACTCCCATCCTCGGTTTATATAGCAGGACATCGGTTACAAGTTCAAAAGGTGATCCCTACACCACAACAGTGTAGAAATTGCTGGCGATTTGGCCATCCAGCGAAATATTGCAGATCTATCACCGAATGCCCAGTCTGTGGTGCCGATGACCATTCTAATACGTCTTGCATTCGATCTCCCTCTTGCCTTAACTGTCATGAGGCTCACCCTTCGTACTCTCGCCGTTGTCAGGTCTATTTAAACGAGCGGGAAATCCGTTACCTCAAAGAGACAGAAGGTCTCCCTTATGCCATGGCAGTTTCTCATCTCCGCCTCCAAGGGAGACTCCCACGTGTTTCTTATTCCCGTGTTTCAAAACGTCCCCCCACTTCTGGTATCCCATCTTCTACACCCACCTCTGTGGTTACCTCTCCCATAATCACTCCTGTATCTAATCCTTTTGCTGTCCTCGGCTCAGACGTCCCTACTTCAACGCCTCAGTCTAATCTCGCTTCTTCGAGTTATCTCTCACAAGCCTCAGTATCGACGAGACCTCGTACGACACCTCCCAATCGTCCCTCTACTTCTCAAAAGTCAAAAAAAGGTCCGGTAACACCTCCTACCCATCTTCCACCTCCTCATTTTACCCTCCCTGTCTCTGTCCCTAGTTCTTCCCCTCTCACTGGCTCAGTTACAAGTGCAGAGGTTCACCCTCCTCCTCGTAATGTACCTTCCTCCCCTGTTCCCTCCCAAGTTTCTTCCTCTTCTGCCACCTCCCAGGTTCCTGCCTTTTCTGTCCCCTGCCACGCTTCTCCAGTTCCCTCCACCCTTTCGGCCCCCCCCTACCTTGGTACAGTCCAATACAGTTCCAATCTTTACTCATCCTCCCCCTACCATTCCCAATATTGTCTCCCATACGACATCTCTGAATTCCGAAACACTTGAAGCAATCTCTGAATATATTGCAGAGACCAAACCATCAATGGACACTGATCCACCTTCCGCTCTTTCTCTCTCCTCTGCTCCATCTGCGCAACTCCTTTCTTCACAGCGCACCGTTCCTTCGCTGCTTGAACATTTTCCACTGCCTCCGCATGTGGACTTTTCTAACCCTTCCAGTCCGTACGAACCCTTACCTGCGGATTTCAAGTATCTTTATCATTGCCAATCATGGCCTATTTACAGTGGAATATACGCGGCCTCAGGGGTAATCGGGGTGAGCTTCAGATGTTACTCTCCCAGTTTGCCCCTGTTGGTGTTTGCTTACAGGAACCAAAATTACACTCTGCTGTTATTTCTCGCATCTCAGGCTATAATTTATTGTATTCTTCAATCCTTTTCCTGATTGACCTTTAATGAAAGTGCCCTTCTTCTCCGCACTGATATTCCGTACCATCAGCTATTTGTTCATACTTCGCTGCATTACACAGCAGCCCGTATCCACTTACATAGGTGGTATACACTCTGTTCTTTATATCTCTCTCCTTCTCGGGCATTATCTATTCCGGATTTTGCCTTCCTTGTTTCGTCATTACCGCCACCGATTCTGTTACTTGGTGATTTTAATGCCCACCATTTCCTCTGGGGGGGTCTCACTGTGATTCCCGTGGAATTCAGTTAGAGGCTTTTCTTGCCACCCACCCCCTCCATGTTTTAAATACAGGTACTCACACCCATTTTGATCCTCGGACTCATACTCTCTCTTGCATCGATCTCTCAGTCTGCTCTTCCTCCACCGCATTAGACTTCACTTGGTCTGTTCTCCCGGACTTACATGACAGTGATCATTTCCCAATCATTCTTACTTCCCCTTCTCTTCGCACCCCACGCTGGCAATTTAATCGGGCAAATTGGAACCTTTACTCACACCTAACTGTTTTTAAAGAGGTTCCTTCTTCGTCCTCCATCGATGAGCTTTTACACCTCTTCTCGTCCTCCATTTTCACTGCAGCTTCTCATTCTATACCCCAAACTTCGGGCAGGCATTCTCAGAAATGCGTGCCTTGGTGGTCTCCTGCTTGTGCTCGTGCAGTACGTTTGAAACGCGCTGCATGGGGCAGGTACCGGTACAATAGAACCACAGAGCGACTCCTTGATTTTAAACAGAAGCGTGCGATCGCTCGCCGTGTCATCCGTGATGCTAAACGCACTTGCTGGCGAGATTGTCTCCACCATCACCTCTGCTTCCTCTATGAGTGCAGTCTGGAAAAAAGTACGAAAACTGAGTGGTAAATATTCTCCTGACCCGGCTCCTGTTCTGCGGGTTGCCGTGTTGATATAGCAAACCCACTAGATGTTTTCCAATGAAATTGGCAATCATCTGGTCCGTATTTCTCAGGGACTCCATCTATGCCCCCCATTCTCTTTCCTCAAAGTCTGCCAGAGAGTTAGCACCCTTGGACTTTTTCTTCTCTCAGAGAAGAACAGTATAATGTGCCTTTTACACTTCAAGAACTGGAGGCAACACTCTCAGCTTGTCGATCATCGGGAGCTGGGGCCCCACGACATTCATATTGGTAATGCTACAACATTTACATCAGTCAGCCCTTGCAGTCCTATTACGCCTTTACAATCTTATTTGGTCACAAGGAGTTCTTCCACAGCTG